GGGAAGGAAACAGGCCCCCAAGTCTTGCAACCCCCTCCCTGCTGGACAAGACAGGCAGTTCCTCCTACACCCCCCCCACGAGCACGAGGGCTCCCCAGAAGGCTTTCCAACCACCCCGGGGGATTCTCCCCTCCAGTGCGAGATCAAGACGCCGGCGGCCAAGAGGCTGAGGAGCATCAGATGCCTGTCGGTGTGCTGCCTTTTTAATACACAAAAGGGAACGAACACACCGGTGGTGTCCGGCAACGTCCAACCGAGGCACATGCACACCGAGGCGTGCATGCACACTGAGGCAGTTTGCAGGTGATCAAAAAACTAGACTGAAAAAAGACATCCTGGAGAGAGACTAAACCTGCCACACACACACACACATTCTGCCCGCCTGCCCGCCTGCCCGCCTCACTCTCCCTGAGGTCTGGGCTCCCAGGCCCCTCTGCTTCCCCTGGGTGACCTCCAGGCAGACACAAGAAAGAGATTTAAATGGTTTGAGCCCAGGATTAAGGCCCAAACAGGTTGGGGGGGGGGAGAGGCCTTAACTCGTTTGCTACCGGCATTTTCCGAATGGAGCCAGGCGTAGGGAACCCTCCCCCCCCCGGGAGGAAGAGGTAAGACCTCCTGGCCCCAGGATAAGAGGGAAAGAACAGGGGAGCTCTGATGAGAAAGGAAAGGATGAGGCCCCTTTGCGTGGGCCAAAAGAAAGAAAGAAAATCAGACTGGGTTGTTGGAAACTCTTCTTTTCTCACCAGAGTACAGAAGCGTGATGGCCTCTTTGGACCACAGCTTGCTGGGCCTTGTGGTCCAAAGGAAGAGCTTGTCCAAGTTCTGGTTATCAACCCCCCCACCACCACACACACACACACACACACACACACACACACACACACACACATATTTGACTTCTCTTCCCACCCTCTCCTATGGTTTCCATCACTGGGAGGGAGGCTCCCTTCCATCTGTGCATTGCAGAGCGATGAAGCAACCCAGGCTTCCTTCCCTCCTCTGGGTCCATCCAGGGGAAAAGAAGAAGCAAAGCAGAGAAGAGGCAGCTCTGATGGGGCAGCCTGGAGCGTTTTCCTGCCCAGGGAGGCGGGGGGGGGGTCAGCCCGGGAGGTGAGAAACGCGTGTTCTTTCTTACCCAGCAAAACTGGCAAAGACACAGAGATCTGCATCGCCAAGAAGATGACTAATGGTTTGTCCCGTATAAATACGAGCAGGAATTGGGTCAGGATCATCCCTTCTTTTTGGCCGGGGCCAAGATCTCGGTGGTTTCACGTGCCCGGAAATGTCAAACATGGCAGAGCACAGCAGAGTTAGAAACCCGACTCGCCTAGTCGCCAGCGGCGATGCGCAAGAGCTCAAGGCGCGATCGATCGGCTGAATCAGACCAAAGGCCTCTTAAGTGCACCTTCGGTTCATACAGCGGATAACCAGGTCCCTCTGGCAGGCCCACCTCTGCCCCACACTCCCTGTCACATCCCCTCTTGTGGGTCTTGCCGTTCCAAAGGTTGCTTTTGGAACTTGCTGCCACAAGATTTAGCAACAGCCAGCTGCTTCGAACACACCCTCAACAGGGTGCAGGATCAACTCTAGTGAGACAGATAAGTCTCCTAAAAACTATTAGCCATGATTTATTTATTCCTTTTAAAAGGGTTTCTTACAGCCTACCATTCAAACACATTCCTGTAAAGACACCCTAATTAGACAAAACCTCCAGTCTCGTGAGAAATCTACCCTGAAATACCACGGAACATGGATAAACAGCAAAGGAAGGTTGTAACCTTTGAGACTCGGACAGTAAGATTCCGAGATACACGTAGTAGTTTGAGTGTTTCACCAGGACCTGGATTCAAATCTCCCCTTGGCCGTGAGATCTGCTGGGTGACTTTGGGCTTGTCCTATAGCTTTCCAGACCTTGCTTACCTCAAAGGACTCTTGCAAGGAGACCCACGTACACTACCCTGAGCAAAGGTGGGATATTTAAAAAGAAGAAAAAAGAAAGAAAGAAGAATATATTCAATTCCAGAGCACTAATGCTTGGCTCTTGTCGGCATTTGGGCCTCATCCAAAAAAGCAGTGCTTATATAAGAAAGCATTGTGCACTCACAAAATTTTCCACACAGTTTCTCAGCCATAAAGAGAGGGAGAGCGAGATGGAAAGACCCCACCCCTATTAAATCGGTCCCTCTTTCCAAACCTCTAAGCATCTCTGGCCTTTGGGGAATCAAGTTACTGGCCTTTTGCTGACCACCTAAGAGACAATGGGAACAAGATCATATACCCTTAACAAGGTGCTATAAAAAGTCACTCTCTTTTTTTTGTTGGTTTGTTTTGTTCTGTTCCAAAGGCCAATTCAGTTTTGGAAACTAAAGACACCACCCTGCCCACCGTTTTTTTCCCCTCACTGGGCTAGATTTTCCCAGCCCCTTCTCCTACCCATTTATCTTTCCCCCCATTTATATCTGTGTTTCTCCCACCGCTTTTAAGCCTTTTCTCTGCCGTGGGTGGTCTGAAGGCAGAATCATTCAAAACACAGAGAAAGAGGACAGAGAGAGAGAGAGGGAGAGGGAAGGGTGCAGGAGAGAAAGATGGAATGGCTCATGGATTTACATCGGGAAGTGTTCTGCTGACCCACTGAAGCTAAGAGGACTCAAAATGGTGCTCAGTCTGGGCTGGATGACGCCCCAGACCTCTTTCCCGCCACAAAGGGACAGTGCAGGGAAGTGGAGGCCTGCTCCAAAATTCAGAATAAAACTTCCCCATAAGGTTAAAAACGGGAGGCAGCTGCCACATTTCTCAGAGTCACCAGGAATGGCTGGAGCTGGTCCAGAGACCTCGGCTTCCTGGCCCTTCTTGCTCACCAGCAGTGCCTCTGAGTGCGCACAGAGTACTTTCCTTGAACCACTAAATATTTACAAGCTTCCCACTCAAATATCTGGGATTCCAGGCAGGGAAGACGATCAGGGATGGGGCTCAGTTACCAGCAACGTTTTGCATGTAAACATTTTTTTTTAAAAAGAAGGAATTAAAATATAAGCCAACTTACTTCCCCGGCTTTGTTTTGGTGTTAAAGATCTGGTGACAGGATGGAACCGGGCGGGGGGGAGGTTTCTGCTCTCAAACAGGTGGGCCCTCGAGCCTCTGTTTACATTCCTCCAGATGATCTGAAGGGAGAGAAAAAGGAGAATCCAATGAAAAAGTGAAGAAGCCAAATGTGGAAGAACAAAGAAAGAAAAACGCCACCGCTTTCCCCTGCCAGGGACCTTTCAAATGGGCTGGATCAACCCCCCCCATCATGCTGGCTGGGGATGATGGGACTCGTAGGCCAGCCCATCTGGAAGATTCGACGTTGGTCAAGGTGGGTCCGACTGATGGAGAAACAGAGAGAAAAACAAGTGAAGGAGACAGAAGAGTTAGGGTCACCTAAATGTAAGACGGGTGGAGGGAATTTAACTGAGATCTAAGCAGAGGAGAAAGTCTTGAGGCACCTGAAAGGCTACCGAAAGTTTTATTTGGCACACGCCGGCAGAGCCTGGAGAGGCCACTTCCCTGATGCTCCACCCCCCCCCCCCCGAAAGCTTCTGGTGGCTAAAAGCTGCTCAGTTTTTAAGGGGCCATCGAGACTCATTCTTGGTTTTGCCACTTCTTTGGAAAAGACAGCTGGGAAAGGACCAGGTTTTATCATCCAGGTAGGGCTCCCCTCCACCCCTCGTCACCCAGAAAGCCAAGCACAGGGACAACGCTGGGCCAGGCCAGCCCCCCCCTCCCCACCGGCAGAAATCCCAGGGCAGCCAAGGCTGGCACTGCCTGCTCCACCACGTTGTCCCCCACGGGGCGCGGCAGACGGGAGGGCGGCAGGAAAGGAAGAGTTGCAGGGAAGGAAGGAAGGGAGGGAGGGAGGGAGGAAGCAAGCAAGCAAGCAAGCAAGCAGGTGGGACCTTTACCTACACAGAAAGAAAGAAAGAAGGAAAGAAGGAAAGAAAGAAAGAAAGAAAGAAGGAAAGAAAGAAAGAAAGAAAGAAAGAAAGAAAGAAAGAAAGAAAGAAAGGAAGGAAGGACGGAAGGAAGGGAGGGAGGAAGGGAGGGAGGAAGGGAGGGAGGGAGAGAGAGAGAGAGACGTCAAGAGGGGCAGAGAGGCAGATGGACCCAGAGAGAGGCTGGCGGAAGGAACGGAAACTCAACAACTGGAAAAAAGGATAGTAAAAAGTAATAGGAAAGAAATGAATAGAAAGAGGGGATGTACAGAAAGAGGGAAAACTCAATACCTCCAAAGAGTATTAAAAAGGCAGGGAATGAATGGAAGGGGTTTAGCCAGAAGGCAGCCAAGGGGAGAAGGGGGGGGGAGGTGGAAAGAGAAAGGAGGGCAGGTCTGTCGTCCCCCCCCCAAACCCAGCAGGTAGATGGTGGGTGCAGGTGGGCCTGGCAGGAGGGAGAGGTGAGAAGAAATGAAGAGGGAGGGAGAGAGCAAGAGAGAGAGAGAGAAACGCGCACCAGGTTGAGAGAGTGAGCGTCAAGGTGCGAGTGCGAATCAAGCCAGCAGAGCTTGTGAGTGACGAGGGATGAATGGTGGACAGGATGGGAAGGGAAAGGAAAGGCTGTGGGTTCAGCTGAATGGAGGCAAGAGACAGGGGGACAGAGGAGGGAGGGAGGCGAGGAAGGAAGGAAGGAAGAGGCAAGCCGAGAAAAGAGAGGGAGGGAGGCCTCCACATCTTTGCTTCCTCTCACCTTCTTTCCTTCTGGGGTTCACGGGGGTCGCCTCTGCCTGGCTCAGGGGCTCAAACAGACCCACTGACTGGCTGGGAAGGCAGGAAAAGCAGCAGCGAGGAAGGGAGAGGGCGAGATCTGGGGAGCCGAGGAGGAAAAGCTGAGAAAAAGGGAGGAGAGAAGGCAGCCGGACCGAAAGTTGCCGCCAGAAACAAACTGGGTGTGTGTGTGGGGGAGGATGAGGAGAGACTCTTCCCCCCCCCAGAGGTGTTCCCCCCCTTCCACCTCCCAACACATACCTGGCTTTGCCTGTCTCCGCTGGCTGGTCCCGGTGCTTTTGCTTGCTTGCTGGCAGTCCCCACGTTTTTCTTTCCTGGGGGTGGGAGAGATCCCGTCCCGTTCAGAAGCTGGAGGGGGGGGTCCAGACAAAAACAAATGCAAAGGAGAGAGAAAGAGATGGGGGGGAGGGAGCTGTGGGTTTTGCAGAATGCTCTCGGCCCCTCTCCTCGCCCAGCTAGGCACTTCTGGCTTCCCAGGAAAGCTGCCGCGGCAGATGCAAAATATCTTTTTTTTTTCTTTCTTCCCTGAGCTGAGCTGGCAATGGGAGGTGAAGTTTGCAAAAACTTTTTTTCCTGGGCTTCAAAGTAGGCAAGCCTTTCCTTCTTTGACCCTGCTCTCAGATGGATGGGGTCCCCTTCCTCCCAATCTCTCTCTCTCTCTCTCTGATCGAAGCTGCTGCTGCTTCTCCTCCTCCTCTTCTTTCCTCCCTGCCTGCTCGTGTCCTCTGCCCTCACGCTGGATTCCTTTGCCTGGGGAAAGGGGTGGAAGTGGCAGGAGGGTGGAGAGACACAGAGAGAGGGATCTGCCCCCTCCCAGTGGGTCACGGAAAGGCAGATTCCAGAATAAACAGGCATGCTTTAAATCCCTGCTGTAGGGAATCCGGGGCACTGCTGAGCACTTTTTCCTTCTCTTGGAAACCTGGCACAACCCGGTGTGGCTCCAGCATGCTCCTTTTGCTTTCTGTTGTGGACAGGGGGGATGCTTGTAGTTTATCTTCAGCAAAGGCACCTCTGGGCACATCTGGCCCTCTTGAGCTCTCGTCCTAACCAGGGTATTTCTTGGCTGCTGAGGAAAGGCAGAGAGAGCCAGCTCATCCCAGCTAAAAGCCATCCATAGGAGAAGGGACCTGCCAGCTTCGGCTTGTCCAGGGTTTGAGGGCTCTTGTTATGTCTGCCCAACAGAAAAAAAAGCCACAGAGGGCCTCTCCCACTGGCCTCTCCGGCCATTCCTGGGCCCAAAGCCACCCTTCCTAACGCTCCAGAGCAGAGCGGGTCGGCTGCAGGTCGGCTGAGGACGGGATTCAGACCTGGGGGTTGGTTCCCACACTCTACCAGCCGAGGGAAGCCACTCCAGCTGGACCCCAAATGAAGACGGATGAGGTGTATTGTCCTTTCGCTGGAGACACTATTGGCAAGCTGTGGCCTGCACGACTACTCTGCATGGCTGGGTTTCTGTCGGTTCCTCCTTCCCTGTCCTCCCATCAACACCCGAGAAAGCGATAAGAAAGGCGTCCAGTTAACCTATCCTCCAGGCTGCCTTGCTTGACTTTTTCCCTTAGAGAAGTGGAGCTAGCAAAAAAAAACATTCCCTGGCCGAACCTATCAGGGACCCTAGTACCTCTCACAGCAAAACCCGTCTCGCATCCCAGACTCACCTGTCAGCCGCTCCTGTGAGCAGAGAGGTCTCCCCTGAGGTCTAATCCAGACAAGCCAGTTCGCGGGTTGTTCAAAGGAGGGCTCCTTTTAAAGAACCACATCCAGCTCTCTTCAGCCAGCATTGGGCATGTCCTCTTGCGCATATTTTATAGCTGGCTGTCGAGAGACAAACATGGGCTTCATTTGCATGTCAGATTGGGCCACACCCCTTTCCACATGATGTCATCTTTTGCCCAGGGAATTCTGGGATTGTGAACATAGACTTCGCACCTAGCATAGTGTTCAAACTTGAGGCCATAGTTAAGTCTCTCTTTCAGAGTTCTTGGCCCTTATTTGTTGTATGTTAAAATTCCAGGGATTGGAAAAGGAGCACCGTGCATTCTGCTCCACCCGTTCCCATCTATATGCTCAGGCGCTCTGCTGGCCAAGCTGCCTTTTTTTTTCCTAGGGAAAGAACTGTGTATTTTGGACGGGAGCTTAATATACGGCAAAGCATAAAGGTAGGATTGTTTGGGGTGTTCCCTGAGGAAAGGAGAGCAGCCACCCCGTCCAAAAGGAACAGACGGTGACTGTTGTTCAACGGCTCCGGTAGGGGGCACTGGGAGAGGAAGAGGTGCAAAGCCTGCTTCAAAACCTCCGAAAAGAGGGCCAGAGGGACAAGTCACAGAGGAATCAAATCCAGGGCACGCCCGCACGAGTGGCCACCTTTCAGGTTTCTCCTACCTGGATTCCGAGACTCCCCTCTCCCCTTTCCCAGGCAAACGCCGGCCTTAGAAGCTGAAAGAAAGCCCTTCACGTTTCGGCAGTGGGATTCAGGTAGACCTCGGGCGACGGAACCATGGGGATGGCAAAGGAAGCCCCTGCTTGTTTCCAGTCAACCCATTACAAAGCAACCCACGCTTCTCTGCAAACGACAGGAGGTGTGAAAGCCCAGAGAGAAACTGCCAGGGGATGAGAAACATCACTGACCGATAAGGCAGGGAAGGAGAGGGGTGACACCGAGCCACGGAGGGAGGGCTGCAGAAAGCCTGGAGAAATGAAGGAGGCCTAAATAGGAAGCTGGCAAAGGAAATATGTGGAGGCTACTCTTCCATCGACACATTCTTCATCATCGGGAGGCCATCATGCTGGTGAAACAGCCAGAATTAAAACGTAAGGGGCCCTCCTCCCAAACCAGAGCGTTTCTTCTTCTAAAGGCATCCGTAAACCCAACAAAACCACCCCACCCAGTCCCCTCGCCGCCTTCCCCACCACAACTAAATACATTTGGGTTTAGCAGAGCTGATTTTTGGCAACTCAACCCTGTTGTTGTGGGCAAAGAAGGGGGCAGAAAGGGGGGCCGTTTGCCTACATCTGTCTGTGGCTGTAAAGAAGCCCTCTTGGTTGTGGATCGCCTGCGGCGAATGTACAAGGGGAACAATTGCTAGCTTCAGAAAAACCCCATAACCCTCTGTGGTCTTGACGGCTTTAGGGCTAATGCCACCAAGGATCTTTGGGGAACAGGTGGATCAGAGGAAGGAAGGAAGGAAGGAAGGAAGGAAGGAAGGAAGGAAGGAAATAAATCACCATCCCAAAACATGGGGGAAAGTCCATTTTTGGACTGTAAAATATATCCCAGGGGAGAAAGGCAAAAACTGGAAGGCTTGGTGGCCTAACTAGGCCTAGGTCAACCTAGCTTCCTGTGCAGAAAGGAAACTGTTCCACTGTTGGCCGGGAACTTCCTGTCTGAACAGGAAGTTACACAGGGCTAGGCCTAGTTAGGGTACAAAACCTTCCAACTTAGGTCATCTTTTCAGGGAAGTCACGCGTAGATGTCTGTCAGGCTGAACTCCCAGCATGGAGAATTGTGGGATATGTAGTCCAAGAAATCAGAAAACCCTAATGCAAAGTCTCCTTGTGCTTCGATCCCCATGACACAACATCCCTGTGAGGCAGGTCATTTCACTATGAGAAATAGAGCGTGCCCAGAGTCACCACGTGAGCTTTACAGCTGAGGTTGCATTTGAACCCAGAACCGCCTTGGCCTAACTGAAGACAGGGTAACTAATGTTACTCTGGAGAACCCCTGGCATAATTTAAGAGCTAAACACCTCCTCCAGTTCTCTTTTTAATAAAACGGTCTTCTTCTTTTTTTCTGTGCCTGTGACTCATTCTCTCCCTATTTCCTTTGGAAGGGGGCAGGAAACATCCCAGGCCAAAAATGTGCTAAGATTAGCCCCTGTGTACACACAGCCTCTCAGTGGGTGGGAGGGCGACCGCAGCCGCCACCGAGATAACAGAATCTGTTTTATCAGTCCGGGGATTTTACTTTCCTGACTCCGAGATCCATTCGGGGAAATCCAGGAAGAAAACTCCCAGCTCCCTGAAAACGACATTGGCCGGATCCGGGGGTCTCTCCTCTGAGCACTTTGCACATGTTTTGGGCCCCTTTGTGACTGTACTGCATTGGGCCCGATGCTTCACCCTGCTTTCCAGGGTCCAAGGAGGCAGGGCTGCCCCGCTGTTCATCCTACGAGCCCCTCATCCTGATCTGCATGTCTAGCAACAAATTGATAAATCATCCCCATTTTGACTGCTGTGTTCCGTAGGGCACTTGGTCCCAAAATAAGAAGCCCACAGCCCTGAGATATGTGCTAAAAAAAAGGAGGGGGGGGAAACAAAAGGCTGAGACTGTGAGACAGATCATCCTTCGTACTAAACTTGCTATTTCCCTTTTCCTCTCGGTATTTTGCAAGATAAACTTCATTTTTATGAACTTTTTTAATGACAGGTTTTGGTGGCCAGAATTATTGGCGCCTGCTTTAAATGATGAATTGTTCTGTTAAAAAAGGGGGAGTTGGAGCCGGGTCAGTGAGATGTGGAGGGGTGTGTGTGAGAGACGACAAAACTCTGGGTGCTGAAGTGCCAGAGGGAAGGAAAGACAAGCAGAAAGATGGCGCCACAGCGCTGTAGCACAGAGCACTAAAGCCTTTCGCTAAACTGCCCATCCCAGGGCAGCCGAAAGGGGCATCCGACGGGAACAAGGTTACAGCGCACATACTGTCCTGGAGACACAGCGCGTGCTGGGGAGGGTGGAGCCTTCCAGAGGGTGGTGGATGCACCCCAGTGCCAAGTTCATGGGGAACATGGGCCTGGGGGAACATGGGAGTCGTTCCATGAAGGAGAGCTCCTGCGTTCTGCCTGTCTTATCTAAAAAAGTGTCCCCTTCCCCTCCCTCTGAAACAAGACCCCCCCCCAAGAAGGCCTCTGGGCCCAAGGGGTTCCTTCCGCCTGCTTGGTACGATCCTGTCTGGAGGACCTCGTGCCTGGAGACAGGGCGGCTGAGGGTCCTGTCAGCACCCGCAAGCGGCGAGTGTGATGGCCGCCAGACTTCCAGGGCGGAAGGCAAGCTGGTTGGGGAGCTGCCGCTAGGCGAGAGGGAGCAGAAAGGCCAGCCATGCTGGGATGTTCAGAGCGATCGGATTGGGGCCCATGCCTGCTTTCCACTCCATGCTGCCTGCTGCTGGCAATGTTCGTCCGTGTTGCCTTCCAGTCTTTAAGCACGTGCAGAGTGCCTTTAATCTCCTAGGAGGTTTTATTTAAGCAACTTTACAAGGAATTCTTCCCATTAAAATGCGGATTTTTGACCAGCACCTCCAAGCAACCAACAAACCACAATTCTCTCCTGGCTCCTGACCCTGCCGGCCCCTTTGAAAACTGTGTCTCTTCCTGGGTCCTCTTTCTTTTCCTGAAATATTTTTGTATGTCTGCAAATTCTGGGGTTCCCACAGACTTCCGAACACCACCCACAAACACAGAGGGAACTAGGGAGGTAGGGAGAGAGTGACTCTGATCCTATGCAGAGGACTTTCAAAGATGCCGTAAAAAAAAACATCCAGTAGAAATCACCGTAAAAACACATGCTTGGATACTGCCAGGGCTCGTACCCTGTTTTTACATGTTGTCTAAAAAGCATTCTGGCATTAGCCAAGGAGCATAAAATCCCAGAGACATTTTAAAAAAATACAGTAATGACTTAGCTGAACATTCCTGCTCCTCTCCTGAAACCGGATCTTTCAGCCTTGCCTTTGTTTTGATCGTTTTCCACCTTCATGAAAAGGTTCCTCCACAAAAGGCACAACAGTGGGATTGTTGAAAAGCGTCCTCCTGAAATGCAAAGCAAAACACCCATTAAATTCAACATTACAGCATTGTTACAGGGACAATAAAACTCCCTGGGCTTTGATCTGCCTTGGTTTGCTAATCTAACCCTTTTTACAAAGCGGTACTTAAAATAAGTTGATGGTTTTTTTCCCTCCCACAATCGGAATTAGCAGCGCTGATACTTTTGATCTTTTGATAGGGAATCCCCAGATATAAACAGGGTCCTGAATTCTTCCTGCTGAGCAGGATCAAAGGTCTGTGTTATCCAGCATCCTGCTTCCCACATACAGCTTGCCAAAGTTACTTTCTCCGACTACGTTTTCCCAGCCATCATGGCCCTGTGGACTGCGATTGTCCAGGAAATGACACTTTTCACATGTTCTGTGCCACATCCAGAAGCTCACCAGCACCTGGTTTGTTTGTTTTCTGTCTCTCAGTGTAGGCAGAGGTATACTGCTCTTGGACAGGAAGGCTCTTGATCCATTGCTTTCATGGACCTCTCATGCCCTGTAAAACTCTTCCACCCCCCCCATAGTCCTCTAAAGCTAGAAGATACCCACATTTCATGTGGCAGGGAGTTCCACAGGTGGAAAGAGGGGCTTTTCTTCTTCTCTTTTCCTCAGCCCCACGTCTACTCCCCATCCCTCCCCTTTTCAAGCCCAAATAATCTACCTTCAACATGCCAGGGATTGCACCGCTCATGATCCGAGGAATTAGACATTTGTAGGTCAGACCTCTAAGCTTTCTAAAGATAGGCCTGGCAGCCTCGCTGGAAAGGGAAGGTGAACGTCGCTGAGTAGGGGAGATGAGGGAGAGACAAGACAGAGCTCCTGCTTTTGATGGGATAGGCCAGATCCGTGACCTGTCCTCGCAGGATCCGGGATCCTTCCTCTGGTGCCCAGTTCTTTCCTCACCTGGGAGAGGTGACTGGGGGAAGCCCTCGCCCGCTGACCTTGGTGGATGGAACCCTTCTAAAGTCCCTCTCTTAGAACGGCCATCACCCTGAGATCTTGGAAGTCGTTCATTAACCAGCCCTTCATTTGAGCGGTTCAGGAAACTACACTCCTATGTCATGTTTTCACAAAACTGCATTTCTAAAAACAGCAACCTTTCGTTTTGGAGTTCAGTCGATAAGCTTGCCTTCGGCGCTCACCCCTTCTTGGAACAGGAAGGGGAGGGGAGGGCACACTTTGAAAATAGCCAGCCTTAAATAATCTCCTTGTAAAATGCCCGAGTATTTAGCTGTGGTGCTTTGGGCGAACACCTTGCTTTCCTTTCCCCTCTGTCGCAACCTGGCACAGAAGGATCCAGCATCAATCTAAAATGTGGCGGGTTGGGGGGGAGAGAGAAGCAAATTATATTCCCCGATCAAAGGAACAAACGTCGTCCCCGAAAAGCACTAAGTCAAGCCGCAAAATCCCAGGCACGCCTACCTTGGGAGTAAATCCTATCTGAGCGCAGGACAGCTTCCTTCTGAGTAAATGTATTTCCAAGAATTTATGCCACAATTATTCTATTCCTTTATGCCAGAGAACACAGGCGTGGAGAAGAAAGCCAGCAAAGATAAACCCCAGAAGGGACCAGTTTTATTTCTCACTAGCCTGAAAGAGTTCGTTTCTTGAATTACTGCTCCCAGAATCCCCCAGCCAGCACTCTGGGAATTGTAGTCCTCTCCCCCGCATACACCTCCAGAATAAAATTTCTAAACTCAACAGTCAGATTGTGGACTGGACGAGTAATAATATGCTTTGGTTGAAGAAATGGTTGAATTCCCTGAGTTCCCTCTAGCTCTGGGCTTGTTTATCAACCAGACGCTTACAGAGAACCTCCAGAAACAGGAATAGTCCATCTTTGCAGACCAGGTGCTAGGAAGAAATGAAAGGGGATGGTCATCATGAACTTAGAAGCCCCAGAAAACTTTGCAGTGAAGTAAGCAGTGGCATTTTAAAGGACATTAATTAGTGGTGTGATGGAATCTATTTTAGGGGCTGGGCAGAAACAACCTGCTAAAAATAGCAGGCTTCGTGGTCTTTTTCATTTTGTTCCATTTGATCTGATAGACAGCGATATTTTCGATGCTTATTATGGGCATACTCTGGGTGTGGGATCAGCTTCATGCCTGTCTCTACCACAGGCATCCTGCCCAACGCAGGAACCTCCACCTGTGTGGACTACATTTCCCATTATCATTGGGATGCTGAATCCAGCATTTGCAATGCTGGCTTTAGAAAATAAAGTTTCTAGTCCTCAGTAGTGCAAAGATACCACCTGAATATGACTTACCGGGTCCTTAGTGGAGGCTGGATTTAATTGCCTTAAAAGAGGTGTCTTTCTGGGGAAAAGATGCTGATCCCAAAACTGCTGAATATGCAGAAATGCAAATCGCAGATCCACAGGCACAGGGCGGGCAGGCGGGCGGCCTCGGAGGGAGATCTCCTGAAAGACACACAAGGGTTGGTTTTAATCAAAGCCATATGCGGAGTTTAGTCTGGGAGCCCAAACCTCCCTTCCTTGCCGTCCGTCCACAGCCAGATAAAAACGCAAGGCAGTGAAATTACGCATCATCTCTCTAGACAGATGCATCCGTGCCTCTTTCCGCATGCCGAGTTCGACAAAGAGGAAGCCCTCCTGCCACCTCAAGACTTTGGTTTGAAGGTGCCTTTCGGAACATTAGAACGTACTTGGAAGAGGAAGGAATTGGGGGGGCCCGGGGCGAGAAAGGCACGTTTTAGTAGCTGGCCTTGATTGGTATTTGGTGACATTAGTTGGTGGAGTCCGGCCTCGACCAGGCAGGAGGGGAGGGAAGCCGAAGGAGGGAGGGAGGGAGGCCCTTTCCTTTTGCCCCACTAGCCTACCCATTTCAGCCAGGCTTGGGGTCCCAGAGTTGGACTTTTCCTGCTTTTGCACGCATCCTAGCTTCCCCCACCTTGGCTTTCCTCGGGCGGCTTCCAGATTTGGCCGGGGGCCAGAGAAAGTTCTGGTCTCCTGGCCTCTCTGCTGCACGCCATGTGCAACCAGTTAAAGTGCCTGCAGCACGGCGGCCAAGACAGCAGAGCGGTTTTCTTGTCGGGAAAAGCCGAATCCAAGCTCATGCCGGTTAGAGCAGATTCCAGGCTCTGCGGCCCTCGGTCCGCTCGGATTCCTGGAGAGAGAGAGATCTCCGTCTGGGGGCTCTGCAAGGATCAGCAGAGGCTGAGCGCACAAAATTAAGGTTGGGCAAAGACCTGGTTAAAAAAAAAAGCAACCTTCAGTGTCCTCTAGGA